TTCTCCTTCTCCTTCTCCTTCTCCTTCTCCTTCTCCTTCTCCTTCTCCTTCTCCTTCTCCTTCTCCTTCTCCTTCTCCTTCTCCTTCTCCTTCTTCTCCTTCTTCTTCATTTGGTGGAATTGGGGATTGAACCCAGGCCCTTGAGCTTGCCAGGGAAGCGCTTATCCCACTGAGCCATCTCCCTGGCCTGATTCACTTATTTTTATTCATTTAAAAATTTCTTTTTTTAATTTTTAAAAGAGAATTAAAAATAGCAAAAAAAAAACCCATTAGAAATGATGAAGAATTTCACTAAACAAATGACACAAATTTAACAATGGTTGTTATACTGCATAGTGTTGTCTAATTAGTTGCTCAGATTATCACATGTAGGCATGCAAAGTTTGTCAAAAATTATAAAATTTGAATAGCAGAGAGAGAAAATGTTAAGCATTAACTGCACCTTTCAATAAAACAGTAGAAATCAGCAGGACATTTATCCAAGCTCTCCTGTATATGTATTTTTTCCCCTTCTGTTTTTTCTCCTTTCTCTCATCTCAGTTGTTCCTTCTCTTTGGACAGTTTCTTTCCCTTTCACAGTATCTATTGTACCTTTCAGATTTTATTTACATTTTCAAGTGCTTACACTAGTTACTTACACTAGACACTCTTATACTAGACAATATGATGTTTACCCTTGTGGGTCTTATTACCAATTCTCTATTCTTACTTTCTTGTAATTTGTTTTTCTCAAAGGAGGAAAATGACCTTTAATATCCCATTATGTCACCTTTAATTTTTTAATATTAACACAGGGTTATACTTTTTCAAAACCAAAATCAAAATAGTTTGGAAGCTTCGATGTGACTGCTGATGGGCATTCACATTAAATGAAAATAGAGAATTCTCATGAATTGGAATATAGCAAACTGAAAGTGTGTTTGTGGCTTTCCTGCCTTAGGAAACAAACAGTGGTGATGAAAAGGAATAAGGTATGTGCCTTATGTAGGAGTGGAATTTAATGTTGTATCTTTGCCTGACACCATATAGATAATCCTTGTGTCAGACAGATGGCCACTTACTGGGTCTAATTTCTGCAATTCGCAAGTTTTAGCAGGAGTTGTTTAATTTGACACATGATGTCAGAATGTTCAGTTGATTCTTTGTTAGGATCGTAGGCAGGAAATGCATAATGCAATGCCAGGCAGGGGCAAAGCTATCCGCTTTATAACAGCAAGAAGCAGAGGACAGAGGGACACAGTGATAGAGACCAGGGGACAGATAGAGACATCAAGGTACACATCTAAGAACCACATAAACACCTCTAAGTGCCCTTCATGTGTCCCCTATATCTGTACTAATTCAATTATACAACGGATAGTGATTACCTCACTTACCAGGTTGCCCTAGAGTGTTGAGACTGAGTTCTTTAGGACAGTGGTATGTTGGTTAATTTTGTTTCTTTTTTCTCTTTTTCTTCTTTCTTTTTTTTTTTTTTTTTTGCAGTATGGGGGATTGAACTCAGGATCCTGCACTTGCCAGGCAAGAACTT